GCCCGCCGCCGCCGCCGAGGCGGTATCCCCCTCGGCGTCGCCGCGAGGCGACGTCGAGGCCAACACGGCGTCGTTTCCCCCGGCGAGAGGGGTAGTTTCGTCCTCCCTGGGATGATGCTGATGATGATTGTGGTGGTGCTGCTGCTGCTGCTGCTCCTGCTCCGCGGAGCCGATGATCCTAATGGAAACCTCGCCGGCGTCGTTGTTGACGGCGTCGGGGGTGGGGTGGGTGTGGTGGTTGGACCTGGGGGGGAGGATGCCGGAATATTCGAGGAGCAGCGAGAGCGGGGCCTGGATGATGGTGGAGGGGGAGAGGATGGCGGAGTAGCGGCGGGGGGAGGCGGAGGGGGAGGAGGAGGGTCTGAAGAGGTCGGCGTTGTTCCCTTCCATAACCCTAATTGGGAAGCATGAAAGAGGGGTTAGGGTTAGGGTTAGGGTTAGGGGGAGTGCGGAGTGGGTCTCTGCTGTGGTGTGCAGGGAAAAGCGCCACAGAGAGAGGAGAGGGTAAGGGAGAGAGAGAGAGAGGATATAAGAAAAAGAGAGAAGCAACCATTTCGGATGCTATACTTCCTCTCTGCTTTATCTTCCCCGATTCACATTTGCCATTCGCTACTTACTCCTCAATAATATCTACTCTAATCTAATCTAAATTCTAATCTCTATTTCCACACATTAAATTTTAAAATCTTTGTATTTATGATATTTTTGGATTTCTACTTCTTTTCACTTTTTTTTTTTTTTGCTTTTTTAAGGAAACTACAACTTTTATTTATTAAAATATTTTCAAAATAAAATTAATTTGCTCTGCAAGATTATGTAATTAATCTTACAAAATTAACAAATTTTGATTTTGATCCTTTTAAAAAAAAAAAATTGTAGTTTCCTTAAAAAAGAAAAAAAAAAAAAAAAACATCTTTGTTCTCCGTCTTATAAAATTAGAATCGTTGTTTTTAGTCTTTTTTGTGATTATTGTCAATTACTTTTTTTTCGTGTCCATAGATATAATATGTATAGTATTTAAAATTGGCAATTAAAAGACTAATTTATGCATTAGTATTATTTTTATTAGTTAAATATTATTTTAGCATAGACAATAATCAAATTTGAAAGCAACATGTAACTATTTTTTATTTATTAAAAGGTTAAGTGATCGTACTAAGCGTAACTCATGGCTATTAGTGATATAATGTTGGTGTTTGTCACTTTTAATTCTTTTTATAGATCCTTAAAATAGATGTTATTAATCTACATTAAAATGATCAAGGATTAAAATAATGAATTTAGATTTTAGATAGATGAAAATTTTAAAAAAAAATTACAAAGATCAAAATCCAAATTTAATAATTTCACAAAGACCAAAAATAATGTTTATAAATTTTAGAAGGATACAAACAAAGAAAAAAATTTACAATGATCAAAATCAAAAGTCACTTATTTGACGTGAATTATAAACATATTTAAGTTAAAATATTGAGATCAAAAGTGAATTTAAGCCTTAGAGATAAAAAATTAAAAAATATATATATTCTAACGAATGATTGATATTTATTTTATTATTAAACTTCATTTGTATTTTTTTAATTATTATTTCAAAATATTATGAACTTAATGTCTTGTCACATAAGTTGTGACATGTCATGGATCAATGCTAAAATTTAACTGTGAATGGAGATCAAATTAACAATGGAAGCAAAATTTTGTATTTTTTTTAAATTTAGGGGATTAGGGAAACATTTGATACATGAAAAGTTTTTACTTTCTCAAGAATTAAATGTCAAAAATATTAGTTTTTCATGTTGGATTTGTTATTTAAAAAAAAATATTTCTAGGAAACATTTTTTCTCATGAATGGTTTTTACATAAGTTTTCAACAAAATTCGTTAAACTTCAAATCATACAAGTAATGTCTCCATAGTTTTAGTGTAAGATAGTATTACAACTAATTTTAGATAAAGGATATGATAGTCTCTCTCATGGTCTTTAAGTTATTTAAACACATAGGCTATTGCTTTCCATTTTTGCATAAGCACTCTTCCTAAATCCATCTTAGAGATATCACTAATCACCATAAAAGGGTTCATTAAGATTTGGCAAAACTAAGATAGGTGTAAAAGTAAACTTATCTTAAGTTATTTGAAACTATTCTCGTATGTTACATCACACATAAAGACTTGACTCTTCCTAATCAACTTAGTTAAAGATAAGGCCATCCAAAAGGAATCGCTTTTAAACCTTGTATGGAAACTAGGTAATATAACAATCTAAACACATTGAGATAAGAGTGATCCAGAGATTTGCACATGTGTGAGACTATAAGTTGATGATGACTTAAATAAATTAATTAACACTACCTATACCAACAAGATGCACCTATTTTTTGACAACTCATTACTCAAAAACTCTATGTTTAGGCATGCTTGACTTAAAGCTATTTAAGGATGGATAGCCTTCTAAAAATTTTTCCAAAAAAATGTATGAGTGAGAGTGAAGCATGTTGAAAAGTCTTATATTGATTTGTAAGGGGTAGTCGTTGATCCTAAAGGCGGTCAAACATTTTAAAAAGGACTACTCATAGAGGATTTTGATTGATGGAGGATTCTAACTAACGAGTAGTTGTATGAAGTGTCATGAAGTGAAGTCACTGAAATGTTATATATGAGATGTGTTATAGGTAAACCCAAGAAACTCCCTATTTATATAATTGACTTATAGGTCTCTTATTAATAGTTTGTATATTATATGATTTTACCTAGTTGATACCTTGCTTTACTAGATCTAAACTTCTAGAACTAAAGTCACTATTTCTTCATTTTAATTATACCATATTATAATTTTCATTCCTTGGATATATGTGTAATCACTCTCAACTTTCATTTTTTATTAACTACCTACCAACAAAGAAAATATAAGGAATGACACATATTCACAAAAATCAAAAGAAACTTCATAATATTCAACAACATAACTTGGTTAATTAGTTTAGAACAAATAACATTTAAGTGTAACAACATTATAATTTAAGGTTCATCACATAAATTCAAAGAAAACATGTAATAAATAATTTATTACACACAAACAATCACACAAGGCAAGACAAGAAGTTTGGAAATAACTTATCATTCTTCACTTAAAAAAAAATCAGGCTAGTCTTAGATCAAAGATCAAACAAACAATAAATGAGTTTTTCAATCAAGATGCACATGCATATTGAAATTAGGCTTCATAGGTGAATTGCAAAAAAAGAGGGTTAAAGGGTGATTGACTTTAGTCACTAATTTTGATTTTACCAAAATTTTCTACTTGATGAATAATAATGAGGTAGTCAATCTTAATAAATCATAATCAAATAATTAAAATTTATAGCATGACATAAAAATAAAGAGTCTTAAAACAAATCATATAGACCTCTTTAATCAACTTTTCTTTCCAATACCTCCAATAATCTTAAAACAAAAGTTCTTTACAAATTTGCTTTCATTTTAAATTTTTTTTAGTTTTGATATTAAAACAAGTAATCTTGATACATAAAATATTTTAAATTCACATAAAAAGGAAACTCGTCTCTTAAAATTCCACGATTAAATACAATGCTAATTAAAAAATCATTCATCATTAATTAAGCCTATCAAAAAAAGATAAAGAAAGGAAGGCTTCACAATAGTGTTGTATCCTAGAGTGCAATAGTAATAGGAAATGTGGGGTAGCCTCAGCCTGGCCCAAAAGGACGAGAAAGAACTTTGAGGCCTTTAGTTTTTGGTACATTAACCCACAAAATGACACTCCATAATGCCACTCGTCTCTTTAGCACTTGTGGGCTGCAAAAAGGAAACCCTACTTCCAATCGACAATAATGCCTACCATAACACTTAATTAACCCTATTAATACTATTTATTCCCATTCTAAATAGTGAACGTCCAATACCCAAAAAGAATATGTTTGAAAATCAGTTGAATTAAATTCAATTGACTTAAAAAAAAAAATACATTCACATTTTTTTATTAGCACGAGTATTTTTTTTAATATAATTTTAAATTGATATCTAAATATACACTTAAATATCGAGATATTGACTAATTATGATCTTCATTTATTATTATTGCAGAAAACAGATGATCCTCATCACCATAGAAAGAAAAGAAGAAGAAAAAGAAAAAAGATGTCCTCACAAAATTAGCTATGAATTCACGAATTATGAAACAAATCTTCTAAGTGATTCATTTTATGCCGATACGACTGCATTGTACATTCAATTCATTCGATTTCAAATCTCTTTCTACTTTTTTAGGCAATGATTTAACTAAAAGCATTATATATGGTTTGCCTTACGTTGGGTCAGCTCAGGTTATAATTTTTTATAACATAATGAAGAGTAAAATTATTCTTAAGCCAAATAAAACGTGACAAGCAATAAAGTAGTTAAGACATAACTTATTGGATTTACTTTACAAAAAAATCTAAACTGTTGAATGCAGAACATCCAATATATTAAAAATATTGCTTCTGGTGCTTTGGATTCTTTCCATTTCACCAAACAAGAGGGAATTAGGAAAAAAGAAAAGAAATTAAGAGTCCCTTTCCTTCTGTCCTTTTATGTTATTGCTTCGAAAGCATGAGGCTACAATGTCAATAATGTAACAAAAGTTGAAATTTTCATGCCGCGTTAAGTGTTTAATTATTACACTTTGTTGCTGTTTTATTCAGCCAAAACTTTTCAATCACAAGGTCGATATATAGTATTTTAGAAATATAAGTGCAATATAAATCACACAAGTTTAATGAAAGTGTGTATTGTAAATAATAATAATAATAATAATAAAACTTCTATATGTCAATTAATATAAAAACTACTATTAATATAATATTTAAAATGATTATAAAAGTCAATAAACTTATCTTAATTTGTGATTATATAATAGTATAAGTTATTTTACATAATCAGTGTATAGACTTCTCTTTCTTTCTCTAAATTATACACAACCCTATATATTTTTATTTCTTTCCTTGACTAGTCAGATCAGCAAATTTTCATTATTTAATTGGTTTGCAGAATATAATTAAAATGTATTATAATAATAGAATTCAAAAATCTTTTATTTTTACTCATTTATAAAAACAAATTTAAAAGAAGAAGATAAGGTTCAAGATTAATTAGAACCAGAATATAATAGATGCATGTGTGAATATACTTATTAGAATTACTAGTTCTGTGTACCCAAAAAAAAAATATTTGTATGAAAAAAAGTCATACTTTAAGATTTTGGCCAACTTTATAAAAGAAGTTAACATTTTGGAAGGATATAAAAATTATTCATATGATAACACATGACATGAACTCGCGAACAAAAATGTCGCTTTATGTATAAAAAGTAGTAGATTCATTTAATTTTTATATCCCTTCTATTCTAATTTGTTAAGCGTTAAAAAAAAAGTTAAAAACACAAATAATGCATTACAGTTAATCTCTAGGAATTTACTCATTCCTAAAAATAATTAATAAAAAAATTGTTTCTTGACTCTCATGCTATATGGTAAATAACTTTATCGGTCAATAAAATAGTGGAAGATACACATGCATGCATAACATAAATCTTGATAATGCAAATGATGAGTAG